TATTTTACTGTCCTCAATTCCTGTAAAATTTGTATATATTATAATCCATACCAAAATATAAGATATCTTTCACTCGAATATCTATATCGACTACTTAATTAATAAAACCTATATACTGAATGAAGCAAAACACATACACATAAATGTACACTGAATAAATTTATAAATTATATTTTTCATTATTAAATCCGTGTGTGTTCTCCTTTTTTCTTCATATCATTCATTTCCTTATTTGTTCTTTACAATTGAATTTAAAAGATTATCTATATTAGGGTTATATACACTCTCTCTGCGTCCTCCTTATCATGCTGTTCTTCTTCAACTTACTTCTTAACATCAACTTTATTCTTTTCTTAGATTACCTGTTTTTATTCCTTCCTTACCTTTTACAGTCAGTAATTATGAGGGAGAAAGAAATGCCATCGTCAAGCAGCGAACCCATAAGTTTGGTACGCGTAGCATATATATAAGAGCATTTTTAATTTTTTTTTCAATATTGCCTTTTCCAAACATAATGTTATTATATATGGTTGAATTTGTCATAAAATAAGCTTTATTTTGGTTGGACAATTGATTTTAACAATTTGAAAAAAGAGAAGGAGGGGGGGTATTTTATACACAATTTTATATTTTTAAAAAATCTAAATATAGCATAATAAAGTACTTTTAAAACCATAAAACTTTTGTCTAAAACATTTTTTCATATCTTTAATAGTTTCGATAATATTCGCTTAGAAAGACAAAAATCAACTTTGTTCAAGGGGTTGTTTCCACCCTTAAAACCGTTTTTGGGCACCAACGAAAAATTGTTTTGTTATTAGGTATATCTGCTCTACAATTATGCAGAGTTTCAGATTTTTTTGAATTTCCGCGTTGCCGAATGTCCCTTGTCAGTGTTAATATTTTCAGTTAATATTTCTCTGTATCGTTCATATTTCATTTGCAAGCTGTATCATGGACCAAACATTTTTACCATGTATCATGCATAAATTGTTGTCTTATATCGTAATTCTTGTATATTATATAGTGGTATATTAATGACAGAAGGAACTGAAAGTTCTGTTTCGTACAATTGCGAAAAGAGGACCATCGTTGTCAATGGTGCACCAACGATACTCGGCATAAAATTGATTCCTAGGTATAATCGCGATACAACGCAAATCCGAGTGTTATTTTGACACGCATAAAAATAACGTGGCACCATTGACAACGATGGTCCTCTTTTCGCAATTGTACGATACAGAACTTTCAGTTCCTTTTGTCGTTAATATACCACTGACAAGAATTACGATATAAGACAACAATTTATGCATGATATATGGTAAAAATGTTTGGTTCATGATACAGCTTGCAAATGAAATATGAACGATACAGAGAAATATTAACTGAAAATATTAACACTGAGTCTAATTCATCAAGGTTTACGGTTAACTTAAACAAAATTGTGCTATTCTCAATCAAAATTTCTTAATCGTTCTCCCTCTCTCGCCCTCTCTCTCTCTCTCTCTCTCTCTCTCTCATTTCGTCAGAAAATTGGTTCATTCAACCAAACATATTTTCCGTGTAGACTTGAATAAAACAATAGGACACAATGAGTCTCTACGCGAATTCTATCATACTCTAACAATTAAATATTCTCCTAACGATAGAGTACAATAGAGTACGATGAAAAGTGTTCATCGTACCCTATCTTTACGCGATCTCATTTCTTTCGGATCCGATGCAGCAAAACGATAGATTGCGATAGAAAACAATGAGAATCTCTGTAGATCTCATCGCTCTTTATCGCTTTCACCTTTTCGATGTTTTCCTTGATCAAAGAACTTTTGAATCTTGAACTTTACAATTCAATATGAGCTATCTGTAGTATCTCATAAAATAATCTCGTAATTGTAATCACGAATATTCAGCGGCCATATCGGCGCGAGCTTAGACGCGGTGCGGCGGGATGTAGGAGCGGCGAGGTAAGGACATAAACATTGGCACGTCGTCCTTCCTCTCGCCGCGCGCCGGCAACAGTTCCTTTGTCGACTGGGCAGTGCTCTCTAGCCTGAGCGGCTAGATGCTCCTCCCATAATGTCTTGGCGTGCACTCATTCCTCAGATTTCTGTCATTAATAACTCGATAATTATTGCGAATCTCACAAAACGGTATGGGATTTTTATATTTATCTTAACCCGCTCTATGTCTCCACGAGCTCTGCCAGATTAGTTATAAGACACCCTGTATATATATATACAGGGTGTTAGAAAAGTCTGGAAACGGTCAAATATCTCAAAAACAAAACGTTTCTGAGAAAAATGTTTTCAACCAAAGTTGTAGGATTTTAAAAGTTCTATTGAATGATCATATCCGTTTGACCTTGAGTGGAGGGGTCAAAGCGAGGTTAAGGCCAACATGATTTTTTTAAATGGAACACCCCATTTCTTATCACACAGTGAAAGATGACAGCGAGACATTTCCAAAACACTACTTGACAACCTATTTTTGTTGAAAATTGTCTGAATTATGAGCTTCAGAATTTACGGTACCACCAGCATTAGTATTATCCAGGATCGTGTGGAGGTTGCATGGTCGGACTTTACATCCCTATGTGTATGTATATATGTCAGCAGAGATAAGGACCCCGCGGTTTATCACTCCCGCAGTATTTAATGACTCCAAACCCTCTCTGCTGCGTGTGTGTGTGTGTGTGTGTGTGTGTGTGTGTATGTGTGTGTGTGTGTGTAGACGGGTTTTTACTGAATTAAGTGTTCAAATTGTCTTCTGTCTGCTGCTTGACCTAATCGTAGATGAAATTCATTTAAAACGTTTCGTCTCATTTCTGGTGAGATAAGATTTACTTGATGCAGTATGCGTTCCCACACAGCAGAGAGGGTTTGGAGTCATTGAATATTGCGGGAGTAACGAATCGCGGGGTCCTTATCTCTGCTGACACACACACACACAGGAGTGTAAAGTCCGACCATGCAATCTCCACGCAATCCTGGATAATACTAATGCTGGCGGCACTATAAATTCTAAAGCTCATAACTCAGACAATTCTCAAGAAAAATAGGTTATCAAATAGTATGTTGGAAATGTCTCGCTGTCATCTTTAACACTATGTGATAAAAAATGGGGTGTTCCATTTAAAAAAATTATGGTGGCCTTAACCTAGCCTTGACCCCTCCACTCAAGGTCAAACAGATATGATCATTCAATAGAACTTTTAAAACTCTACAACTTTGGTTGGAAACATTTTTCTCAGAAACATTTTGTTTTCGAAATATTTGACTGTTCCCAGACTTTTCTAACACCCTATATATATAGAGGTGCCAGTAAGTCTTTCCATTTTTTGATCCTTTAATTATCGCAATTATAATATTGTTACATTGATAGAAGGAAATTTAATTATGATTCTAAATTAATTAGCAATATTTCTTTACAGTATATATCAATTTTCATCGAAATCAAACTTTTAGAAAATAGCAGACTTCAAACCAAGTGAAGAATACATACGTCATTGTACGTTACTTAAGTTTCATCGCAACGGCAACGGATGCAGTAAGATAAATTAACAGTGTATATCAAGGAACTATTAAAGTAAGGATCTATCAGATGTGGTTTGCAAGATTTCGTGAAGGTGCTTTTAGTCTAAAAGATAAACCGACACCTGGCCGACGAAGCATTGAAGGCCACCATTTTCTAAGGGTAAGTTTGATCTTGGTGAAAATTGATATATACTATAAAGAAATATTGCTAATTAATTTAGAGTCATAATTAAATTTTGTCCAATGAATGTAGCAATAATTGTGCTGAAAGGTTAAAAATGGAGACTTTCCGGTATCTCTAATAATATATATGTATACATATATATATATATATGTGTGTATATATATATGTATATACACAAAATATATATATATATGTCCCATTTTACATGAGCTATGAGGCAAAAATTTCGAAAAATATGAAAGAAAAATGTTTCAGACAAAAGTTGTATGGTTTCAAAAAGAACATAAAACAACTATATCATTTTGTTTACAGATGGCACCACTTTCAAGATATTCACTGATCATTACTTTTCTTCAATGGAAATCCCAATTTTTTATTACATTATTTTTTTCTATCAATTAATTTGAACAACTTTTGTCTGAAACATTTTCTTATTTGCCTAATATTGTTTTGAGATATTTAAAACTTGATAACTGTTTCAACATTTAACTTACAATATCTCGTTAACTATTTGTTGAAAGAAAAAAATATTAAACTTTTTTATTCTATTTAGTCTCAAGAATATATTGTTACTGCGTCAAGAATATATTATAATAGCGTTCACTTTTAATTTATTAGCCTTTGGAAATTTCCAAATCAAATTAAAAAGTCAGTCGTATATATACATATATATATATACATATTATATGTCTGACTATATATATTATATGACTGATTATATATATGTATTGTGTATTATATATATATGTATAATATACACACACATATTATAAAGTTTTTCTAAACTTATAAAGCATAATGTATCAAAAATGAACCTTCTCTTTACTTATATTCAATTTTTCTCACAAAGTAAATGCAATTAAAGCAATCCAATTTCGCATTTGAGTGACAACTGAGAATATCACCTTTTCAGTAATATATATGTATGTACATATATATATATATATATATAAACAATGTGGCTACATACATTGTGTAATAATAAAATATATTAAAACCAGGCATAAATTTTTGTACTCATTTCATATATATTTATATATGAGCATGTATATGTATACGTCAAATACAAATTCAGATTTTAATTCAATTTTAAGTTTCTTACTTCATGTCTTTATTAGACTCTCTTATTAAATTTAAATCTCTTATTTTAACCTGAATTTGTGAGTATTGTGATCTTGAAATTTTGAATCGGTACCGATTTTGAATATATGTGTATTTATAATTAAATACCGATTTTGAATATATGTGTATTTACAATTAAATAATTGTTATTATCTACTTACTTGCATAATTCATGATATACTTGTAAATTATTAAAAAAAATTTTTTCTTTTGGTAATTATTTAAAAGACAGTCAACCCCTTCGATTTTACTACAATTCACCTATCTTGTATATTTTGACGCGTAAAAACTGAATATGAAAGTTAAAATCATTGCTGGAGTCCGCAAAGCGAAATATGAATCGCTAAATTTGATAGATATGACAGGTTAGGAAACCTGTATAGCAACGACTGGTCTGTTCATTAAAGTCCACCTGGGGTACGTTCCAAAATCAACCTTGGTTAACTTCGGAGGTTAAAGGAGTGGTAGGAGCAGAGAGAAGAATGAGAGCGGCCACCGGCCGTATTTCGGGGGATATGGCTAGGCGCATTTTAGATACGCCATCTGATCAAAATGCGCCTAAACTACGTCCGCTTTCGCGGTGATAAAAGTAAAATGTGCCTAGGTTCGTATCCGTACTACTTCTATGCAATGGATAGTAGATTAGAAAAAGACAGACGACAGACAATCGTTCCGTCTTTGTCTCACTACTGAGCGGCGCGCGGCAGTAAACACGAGGCGAGGTAGCGGCGATCTTATCGTTAAATGAACATCTCTCCGCTTTTCTTTCATCTTTCACGCTCCAGAGACATCAAAAGACGCGGTAGCGTCTCGTGTCAAGGGAACGTGCGAAGCGAGGAATTATTTTTCACGCACGCGAGGTAGCACATGGGAGACTAGACGAGCGTCGACATATTATCTGTTTCTTTCCCGCTCGTCTAGCTTATTGACTGCGTGAGCCGCGAGATTTTTCTCGCTACTCCTATACCTCGCTCTTTCTCTCTCTCGCGCACTTGCTCGCTCTTCCTCTCTTCTCGTGTTCTTACGGCTTGATTAAATATATTAATTACATGACAATATATATATAAATAAATGACACATATATAGTATATATGTATATAAAGAATATTTAGTATTAATGCACAAATAAAGAAGAGAGAATTATAACGAGAGACGAAAAGTTAATAGAAATCCACTCTTAGCCAATATATACATCTTTTAAAAATGATTTGTTATTAAAGTATATGACAGAATAATTTATTTATGCTAATAAATTTAAATTAAAAATTAAATGAAATGTTATTTGTTTTGTAAAAGATATTCCATTGTTACATTTTTCTTTTCGTAGCAAAAATTAATTTAGTCTAGTAAAAAAAGAAATTAGTTTTATTATCATATTTCAATTACGACTTTATTATTTAATTTTACGAATAGATAACGTGCATATTGTTGCTCAACGGAAACGTTGAGCAACATTATGCACGTTATCTATTCGTAAGGAAACGCGAGAAAATGGTGATTTCCGTCAAAAAATAAATGTAAACTTTTTAATAATATAATAATTTTCTTACGTAAGTGTTTGTTTTTATAGTATAACCTGTTGAATTTTATTAATTATTAATTCAGCATGTTATAGTATAAAAAATATATTTTAATATAAAAATTAATGTAATATTAATTGTTTGCATTTGCAAGAAATATGGATAGAACAGGATAGGTTGCAATGATACATAGGAAGAAAAAAGATAGATGGATAAATAGATAGATAGGTAGATAGATATAGAGATAGATATAGATGGATAAATAGATAGACAGATAGATAGATAGATAAATAGATAGATGGATAGATAGATATAGAGAAACAGATAGATAGATAGTTAGATAGTATAGAAAAAAAGATAAATAGAAATATAATTATCATTATTATTATTATTAATGTTTTCAGTTTCAAGAGAACATTCGCTTAAACGTAAGTCTTACTTAGGTCCAGTTTCATGATTTATATTATATTAACCGGAATATATTATACGACTTATATTATATTAACCGGAATATATTATACGATTTATATTATTTTAACCGGAATATAATTCGTTAATATTAGAAGTACCGAGCGGTTATTTCTGATCGTTTCTATTTTTTAGATTAATATCCTGTTTCTTTAAGATTACAGGATTTTTGTTTTGAGGGTTTGTTTAATGTGATGTTTGTAAAGAATGTATATAAATTTCTACATATAAGATTAAAAATATGAAAAATATTGCAGTGAAAGCAAGGAGGTTCCACGGTGCGCACAATATCTCAATAACCAATTGATAACTCAATTTGACCAATCGACTTGCAACTTGGCAGCATTATAAAATAGACTTCTCTTTACCGTTTTAACTACAATTAACCAAATTCATTAATAATTAATATTTTTTATTAAACTTTACCGAGAGGCCAGAAATATACGATTTTTGTTCTAAATGCTACTATTTTATTATTTGTGTTCCGATTGTAGTTCAGACAATAGCTATACTCATAGAAAATAAAAAGCTATTTTAAATAATTGTGTAAAATTAAATCACACACATTTAGAAATTCCTTGGAATCGTCTATTTGCAACCTCTTTACTTTTACTGCAATATTTTATATATTTTTAACCTTACATACTTGTAGAAAAATATATATATATTCTTCAAACATCATTAAGCAAACTCTCAAAACCCGTAATCTTTTAATCATGTGATCTTTTTCGCTTCCGCAAAAAAATTAACGAAATATACGTATTTTTTGTCGGGTTCAATAAGACAACTCTTTAAAAGCCTATCTCAACAAAATTACATAATCGCATCATTGATATGCACAAGGAAATCAACCAATCATAATCCGTACAAGCGTGCCTTTTATATTAGACATATTTTACATTTAATTAATCTGTTTCCTTCTCTAGAACAAATAATCATCAAAGGTCAAGATAACGTTAAAATTATTTTAACTTAATTTTGACATCATCTTCACTTTTATATAATTATTTGTTCTATTTCAGTTATGCATATGAATATGACTATGCAAGTTTGTCTCAATAAGTCTTAAACTCCGGTTAAAATAAATTATGAAACTAAATCTTAGCGTTTCTCAATCATCGGCATCTTTCACGATGTTACGATTATAAATATTATCTATATAACCAATTGTAACCTACACAATGGAACGCTCTTCGATTGAACTGATTGAAATTGCTCATATCAATTATCAATGATATATGGCCTTTCATTACATTCTCTAAGTTTCAATTATTAATTGAACAATTCCTTTCACAAGTCAAAGATTAACATGCTGATTTGAAACATAATGCTAAAAGCTCGAAAATAAATGCGAAGCAGAGAAGAGATTAACAATGAATGATTATTATTTAATATGCAACTTACATTAACATGGACTGTCTAATTGACTTAATGTCTCGAAGCTACTGAATATGAATTTCTGCTCAAATCTCTTCCTTTCTGTAGGAGGTTTTTGGCTGTTTCGGTTACTTTCCTCTACATTTATATTGATGAGTTGAAGCACTTGTTTCTACGAGATGCTTAAAATTCGGCTGACTTTACGAGTGTTAACACTCGTAACTGGACCTAAGTAAGACTTACGTTTAAGCGAATGTTCTCTTGAAACTGAAAACATTAATAATAATAATAATAATGATAATTATATTTCTATTTATCTTTTTTTCTATACTATCTAACTATCTATCTATCTGTTTCTCTATATCTATCTATCCATCTATCTATTTATCTATCTATCTATCTATCTGTCTATCTATTTATCCATCTATATCTATCTCTATATCTATCTATCTATCTATCTATCTATTTATCCATCTATCTTTCTTCTTCCTATGTATCATTGCAACCTATCCTGTTCTATCCATATTTCTTGCAAATGCAAACAATTAATATTACATTAATGTTTATATTAAAATATATTTTTTATACTATAACATGCTGAATTAATAATTAATAAAATTCAACAGGTTATACTATAAAAACAAACACTTACGTAAAAAAATTATTATATTATTAAAAAGTTTGCATTTATTTTTTGACGGAGATCACCATTTTCTCGCAATTTCCGTTGAGCAACAATATGCACGTTATCTATTCGTAAAATTAAATAATAAAGTCGTGAAAAATAAAAATTGAAATATGATAATAAAACTAATTTCCTTTTTTACTAGACTAAATTAATTTTTGCTACGAAAAGAAAATTGTAACAATGGAATATCTTTTACAAAACAAATAACATTTCATTTAATTTTTAATTTAAATTTATTAGCATAAATAAATTATTCTGTCATATACTTTAATAACAAATCATTTTTAAAAGATGTATATATTGGCTAAGAGTGGATTTCTATTAACTTTTCGTCTCTCATTATAATTCTCTCTTCTTTATTTGTGCATTAATACTAAATATTCTTTATATACATATACACTATGTATGTGTCATTTATTTATATATATATTGTCATGTAATTAATATATTTAATCAAGCCGTAAGAACACGAGAAGAGAGGAAGAGCGAGCAAGTGCGCGAGAGAGAGAAAGAGCGAGGTATAGGAGTAGCGAGAAAAATCTCGCGGCTCACGCAGTCAATAAGCTAGACGAGCAGGAAAGAAACAGATAATATGTCGACGCTCGTCTAGTCTCCCATGTGTTACCTCGCGTGCGTGAAAAATAATTCCTCGCTTCGCACGTTCCCTTGACACGAGACGCTACCGCGTCTTTTGATGTCTCTGGAGCGTGAAAGATGAAAGAAAAGCGGAGAGATGTTCGCTTAGCGATAAGATCGCCGCTACCTCGCCTCGTGTTTACTGCCGCGCGCCGCTCAGTAGTGAGACAAAGACGGAACGATTGTCTGTCGTCTGTCTTTTTCTAATCTACTATCCATTGCATGGAAGTAGTACGGACACGAACCTAGGCGCATTTTACTTTTATCACCGCGAAAGTACGCCTAGCGGACGTAGTTTAGGCGCATTTTGGTCAGATGGCGTATCTAAAATGCGCTTAGACATATCCCCCGAAATACGGCCGGTGGCCGCTCTCATTCTTCTCTCTGGTAGGAGTATAGCTTAGGGTGCAGTTACATGGAGTCAGAAATAGCGGAACGGAACGAAAACGGAAAAGACAAATGGTAGAGGTTAACAATTGAAACATTCCGTTCCGTTGTTTCGAAGCTGGCTTTCACATGAGATATTTTTCGCGAAACGGAACGAAATACATAACCAAGAGATATCACATCGATCCGTCAGCATAATAAAATATTAATTATAATACAACTATAAAATATTGGGAATATTTTAATAATTAATATATATATATGTATATTTATTAGGAACAATTTAAATGTGGATACTGTGGTTGGTGCTTAAAACAGCATCAAATTGTTGAGCATTCTTGTTTTACGAATACAGAAGCGGATTTAATATTTATCGATAATGAAAAAAATATTTTTATAGCAGGTGAAATAATATATTAATAATATATTACTAATAAATGTATACATTATTTATTAATAAATATGATTATTACAGAAAAAGAGATTGTAGAAAATACTGTAATAAAGAACAACTGGATGAAGACTTGATATCAGCAGTAAAAAGCAGGCCTACTCTATATGATTTTCGTCTACCTTTAAAAGAAAGAGGAAGAAAACAAAAGGCTGACTTGTGGAGAGAAATCAGTGTATATTTGAAAGGTGCTATCTATATAGATTTATTTATATATTTTGTTAATATAAACACAATTCTAATTACAAATTGTATGTTATAGGATCATATACACCCACGGACGCGGAAAAACGTTGGAATTACTTAAAAGATTGTTATAGGAAAGCGAGAAATTTGCTCAAAAAACAACAAAATATTGCACAAAGAAGTGGTGCAGCTGGTACATCGAAAAGTGAAACCATCAAGTTATCTTTTCGTTATTATAATATTATGATGTTTTTAAATGATACACTAGAATATCGACAGTAAGTAAAATAATATTTGTGTAGTGATATTTTATAGGTTAATTATTTTATTGTAAGAACTTTCCTACTAAGCTTTCCTACTTTACGGAATGTAATGTGTTACGGACATTTCTGTGTGTAATAGCTTTTATTTTTCTAATATTTGTTTCAGAACCGTGACTTCCTTGCGAAAAGCAATATATGATAGCAAAGCATCTACATCAAGTGCATTAAATGACACTGATGAATCGGATGAAGTACTTTTTATCAACAATGAATTGGACTGCAGTTCAAGATCAGATTTTTCCTTTAATACTCAATCAGTCAATTCAAAGAGTATAATTTATTATTATATATATCTATATATATACACACAATATTAAGTACAAACATTATGATAATAATTCTTTAATATTTCGTCTATTTAATAGAAAGAAAGAACAAACAAGATGTGGATGAAAGTGAGAAAGTTCTTATAGAAGCGCTAAAAGAAAATGTTGAATGTAATCCTATTGATGGATTTTTATTACGTCTAGGAGAAGGTCTACACAGACTTTCATATAACAAAAGATCACGGTTAGAAATAGATTTCTTACAAAAACTGTATGAAATGGAAGAGGAAGGAAGGACATAGAAGAATGAGTTATATCTCCATATAATATATTCTGTAGTTCGAAGATAGTGACAACTGTCGTTATCTGCTATTCCAAATTACAGAATGAATATTCTACATTTAGCTTTTTTATCTGTTAAGTTACTTGTGATTCTTTGTGATACTGGAAAGTTAGTTGTAATATGGAATTTACAAGAGTGTGTTGATATATAAGATTTATAAATGCAAATTATAAAAAAAAATACAAATATTTTGTTTAAAAAACACATTCTTATATATAAATAATTTGTTATAAAAGAAATGTATAAAATTTTGTTTAAGAGAAAGTTTATTTTTGTTTAACATAAATTTATGACAACAAATAATAAAAAATAGTAATATATATTTTTATTACTTTTATTTAGTAATCATTTGTACAAGCCTTTGCCCACTGCTGTTGAATAGCTTCATTTGTACAGAAATATTGCGTAAATAAATTTCTAGCAATACTCCAAGTTTGAGATATAATTTCTAGGCTATTTTCAAGGCTATGCAATTCTTGAGAATCAACTTGTTGTGAAAGAATATCTCGTAGATCTTGTACGAGATATGTCCTTTCTTTCATAGGACGCATAAGATCTCTTGTTATTAAAAAATTGTGTAAACAAACCGTTGCTTGAACAATACTAATAGCTGTATCAATACCTGTTTCAATAAGTTTTCTAAGAATTCCCCATTTCGAAGTTAATATACCGAATGCACATTCGACAACTCGTCGAGCACGACTTAAGCGATAATTGAATATTCTTTTTTGTATATTTAAATTGCTCTTTTGCGGATATGGACGCATCATATAGGACATTAGTGCAAAAGTTTCATCACCTATTACTACGTATGGTAATTTAGGACCTTTTTCTGAAATAGACTTTGCTTTTGGTAAATTAAGATTGTTATGTTTCAACTGATACCAAAGTTCACTTTGCAGAAATATGCCGCTGTCACTTCGTCTTCCTTCAGCACCAATATCTACCACTGTAAAACGAATTGGGATCTGCGAGTGCCATAAGTACAATGCTATGCATATTTTTATAATTATAAAAAGTTGAACCACTATGTGGTGGAGCCTATAATATAAACAAAACATGTTATTTACAAAAAGGGAAGAAAAATATTTTATGTAATGGTACATAAATTAATATTTATCTTAAGTCCAACATGCTTCCCATCAATTGCACCAATACAATTTGGAAAATCCCACATATCTTGAAATTCTTTAGCCTTTTGTATCCACATATCTTCTGTACATTCAGGAAAAACTATATCTTTTAAAATATTCCATATCGCTTGACAAGTTTCTGCCACAATATTGGATACTGTACTCGTTCCAACTCGAAATGCAAAAGAAAGGGAAGACATAGAATCGCCCGAAGTCAAATAGCGTAAACATATCTCCAAACGTGTAGATGCTGATATTGGAGTTCTAACAACATTTTGTTTCATAATATTTTTATGAATTAACTTTAGTAGTTCATTAAATGTATCTATGTCCATTCTCATATACTCAAAAAATTTCTCAGTATCCACATTTTTCATTTCTTTAATTAAATTGTCGCTTGCCCCTTGCTTATATCTTTTTTCTTCGGTAAATATTGGCCGTACCCATACTGTTCGTAGACTTCTCTTTTTTTCTTTGTTTTTTAAAATTTTATATAATAAATAAACTTTAATTAATTTTTTTCTTTTTTTTTGTTTTAAATATTCTAATTGTGGCATACTTTTCCATTTATTGATTTTATATAACAATATCCTTATTTCCCTTTGTGACTTTAATTGTTCCTAATAAAATATATATATATATTGTTAAAATATCTAATATTTTATATGTTATATTATATTTTATATTTTGTATACCGTAATTAATACTTTACCATGTTGACGGATCGATGTGATATCTCTTGGTTATGTGTTTCGTTCCGTTCCGCGGAAAATATCTCATGTGAAAGCCAGCTTCGAAACAACGGAACGGAATGTTTCAATTGTTAACCTCTACCATTTGTCTTTTCCGTTTTCGTTCCATTCCGCTATTTCTGACTCCATGTAACTGCACCCTTACTTGAGGTACTTCTACCGTAGAAGTTGTTTTGGAATGAGTATGTAGCTACACTACTGAACTGGTACAGCTATAAAAAGAATAGATTATTTACAATTATGGCAGCAGAAGTAAATAGAAGACGCATAATAACATTCAGTGCATTTGCTGCAAGTAGATATTTCTTAAATAGTATTATCGAAATAGTTTGTGATAGTGATAATGAAGATGACGAAGAATTAATGCAACGCCTAATAAATATAGAAAAGAATGTAGCAATACGTGGCAGCCTGAGGAAAGCAGTCCATATTGAAGGTTATGTTGAACATATCATACCAAGGTTTTCCGGAAAGTAATTTAAAGAACACTTCAGAATAAGTGCAACAGTTTACGGCAATTTGGAAAATTTAGAAAAAATAGTTTAGGAGATTTACTATCGAGACAAGGAGCAACAGGTCGCTTAACATTACCCGTGCGAAAGCAATTGCTAGCTACTGTATGATTATTGGCTACATCTGATTCCTACAGGTAAGTACTGTTGATAAATTTTACTATCACATTTTACTTTATTTTTTAATATTTTATATCTGTATAAATCTTTCATTATTCTTGTATTGTTTCAGATCTGTAGGAATAAAATTTGATTTAGCAAAGTCATCACTCAACCATTGTATCAGGAGAGTAGTAAAAACTCTAAATTTAATTGCACCACAAGTTATATCCTGGCCAAGAGAGGATCATTTATTAAGTACAAAAGCCAAATTTCAGAAGATTTCCAAATTGACTAATATTGAAGCCATAGATGGTACACATATTGAAATACCTGCTCCAGAAGTATGTTGATTCTTTACATAATAGTTATTGGCTTAGTATGTTCAGTAATTGAAAATGTTAATTTTAATTACTGAACATAGGTTGATTCAGAGTTTTACAATACACGTAAATGCAGATATGCGATTGTTTTATAAGTAGTATGTGATGTTGACTTACGATTCATAGATTGTTTCGCTGGATATCCTGAATCGGTTGGCGATTTGAGAATATTTAAGAATAGCAACTTGTGGCACGCTGTCAATAGGAACAGGAACAATTTCTTTCCACATGAATATATCATTGGCGACAAAATTTACCTTATTTTAGGATGGTGTTTGCCTCCATATAAAGATAATGGTCATCTTACAAGGGTAAAGAGATAAAAATAATATTAAAAATCTTAAATTCGTCACTTTATTAATTATACTTTTCTTTTGTTTTTAGGCACAACAAAGATTCAACCAGTATCTTATAAAAGGTAGACAGGTTATCGAACGAGCTTTTTCACTATTAAAGGGGAGATTCCGACATCTGAAATACTTACATATAAGTCCAGTAGATTTGATTCCCGAAACTATTTTGGCGTGTTGTGTTCTGCACAATTTATGTATTAATGATTTAGATAAAGATATAATTGAGTATATCTTAGATGGTAAACCAATACATAATGAAGTGGATGATAATAATAAAGAACATGCAGGAGATGCAGAAGGTATTAATAAAAGGAATTATATAGCTCAAATGTTACATTTAGTTTACATTTAGTAGATTAAAAAATTATGTTAATTAACTGTATAAACTGTGTTTATTACAACTGTAACAATACTTATATATATATATGTATTTAAATATTTATGAACGAAATAAATAAACATTTTCGAACAATACTTGAGAATAAGAATATGAGTTAAAGACAACCAAAATAAACTTAAATTAAATTTTAGTTTGTTGAAATATATACCATTATATAACTAAAAATATGTCATGTTAAAGTTTAAACTCGAAATAAAATTCGAACAACTTAAAACAAAAAGTATTCCATAAATATTATGCTTCTATTATGTGTATCAGTCCAGAAATGTAAGGCAGACTTGAGCAAAAGCCAAATATCAACGTGAAGAATAAATTCTTCTTACATTAAGGATTGATTCCTCGCATCATTTATCTCTTTTTAATTATGTCAGAAGTGAGAAAACGCATGTTAAAAATTTTTGCAAAACATGTTGAAATAAAAAAATATATGTATAAGGTGACACTTGCAATCCATGGAACAAATTTGTAATATATTCTGAACATTTCTTTTTTTCTAATAATAAATAATTTACTGTACATTAATGTAACACTATTATGCGAAGAAATAGATTAAAAAGATTAATTATATGTCACGTTAATTTGCAACCAATTATTCATTGTTAGAGTAAAAGAGAAGTGTTTGGACTATTTTATAAAATTGCTCGATCAATTATATGTTATTTCATGGATATATTTTTTTATTTCAATATATTTTGCAAGAATTTTTAGCATCATTTTCTTGCTTTTGATATCATTAAAAGGAAAGATGATGTGAGAAAACGGAAGCCTTAATATGAACACAAAAATAACATTAATCAAACTTTTGTAAACTGAACGTTAATTATCTTCCTAAAAACAATTCTTTGGCATATACTAAGAATTATTTTTATCACAAAATTCTCAATAATAGTAACGATATATAACGACACTAATAATACTGATAATACGTAAACAATTCTTAATATTTGTAACATATGCAATAAAATGAAATATTGAAAACAGTTTCTTAGAAAAATATTTTCAGCAAATTATAGTTTTTTTATTAATTTTTCCATCACCTCGCGAAAAGTTTTTGTTGCGTTTTCTATTGCAATTATTTTTTCTGCATTACGCTGTTCCTGATAGTTGTCTCGTTCTTTCCTATACTCGATAAAGTTTTCTGTCCAGGAAGATAAATGTCGTTCAATCTTAGTCTTCTTTTGTTTCTTTGGTTAATTATTATCTACTGCACTGTTTTCTGCAGATGATGTATTTTCATCTTCAGCCTCAAGTCTCATATTTGACACAACTTTAACCGGATTCACATTTGGTTTGTCTCCATATAAGCAATCCATTTCATTGTAATATCGGCATGTTTTAGGTGTAACTCCTGTCCTTTTATTATGATCTTTTATTCTCATGTAGGCTTTCCTTACATTTGTCTACTTATCTTTAATTTGTGTTCTGGTAACATTATAATTTCCACTAATATTCATTTGTACTTTAATTTTGTCCCACACTGTATCATTTTTTATTGCAGTGCTTTTAAACTCATCTTGATAATCTTCATACAAACTAAATAACAGTTTCACGCTTTTATCGTTCCAAACAGCTGAAAAGTAAAATAAATATATAAATAAGTGAAAAAATTGATTTGCGTTATAACATAATGTTAATTTTTTCGTTAATATATACCTGCATTTATATTCGATGATTCATCTATATTATTATGATTAACAGAGTTATTATTATTAGAGTTATTATTATTATTATTATTTAAATTCGAACCTACAATTGATATAATTATTGCAAGAGTAATTTATATATATATTATTGCGCCCGTGCTTTTGCGAAGTATCGAGGTGTGTTCACATTGCTATGATCGAAAGTCCCTAGCAACGAAAAATAAGAACAGCAGACGAAGAGTTCTTGGGAAGCTGTCAAGATAGACAGACGCGAGATTTATCATTCGGAGAATTATTTATGAGAGAGTCTGTACAAAGCTGTAAATAGTAAAGCTTCCTTTCTTTTACACAAGTATTCTTATTTCCTCGAGTGCGTGGTGTGAGTGTTGCTAGTTAAAGAGTGAGCGCAACAATATACAGGGTGCACGATTTATCTGAAGACATTGAAATATCTCGAGAACTATGCATTGGATAAAAAAAAGTGGTTAATGAAAGTTGTTAGCCTCGAAGGGGGACATCCAACGATACCAAACTCGACCTCCCACCCCACCTCCTGGGGGTGGGGGTTGGGGGCAACTTTGAAATCTTAAATGGAAACTCCCATTTTTTATTGCAGATGCGGATTCTACGCCACAAAATACGTAAATTTTGTCCGAAACTTTTTTTCCGATTCATGATAGATGGCGCTGTAATCGCAAAAAATTATATTTTCTGCAATTCTCCAGAAATGATCATTGGATTGAGAAATAAAAAATACCTGTTCAATATTTTTAAAGAACATAATAAAAGTTATCCCCCCCCCATCCTCTCGGGGTAGGGTGGGTGGGTTCAAATCTGAAATGGGAACCCGAATCGAAGAGGGAACTGCTCGACGCGCCACTGTGGGTGTATGGCGAACTACGGCTTATTATAAAAAATTGTTTCAATGAAAAAAATTGTTTCAATAAAAATTTCACGTACAATCTAATTCTGCAATGAAAAATGTGGGTCCCCATTTGAGATTTGAACGTTATCACCCACCCTACCCCGAGAGGATGGGGGGGAATAACTTTTATTATGTTCTTTAAAAATATTGAACAGGTATTTTTTATTTCTCAATCCAATGATCATTTCTGGAGAATTGCAGAAAATATAATTTTTTGCGATTACAGCGCCATCTATCACGAATCAGAAAAAAAGTTTCGGACAAAATTTACGTATTTTGTGGCGCAGAATCCGAATCTGCAATAAAAAATGGGGGTTTCCATTTAAGATTTCAAAGTTGCCCCCAACCCCCACTCCCAGGGGGTGGGGTGGGAGGTCGAGTTTGGTATCATTGGATGTCCCCCTTCGAGACTAATAACTTTTATTAACCACTTTTTTTTATCCAATGCATTGTTGTCGAGATATTTCAATATCTTCAGATAAATCGTGCACCCTGTATATATATATATATATATTCGTATTTCATGTAAACAAATATATTATAAAGTAAATAAAATAATATTACATGAGGCATTAACTTCAGTTGCTTTCTCTGGTAATGTTTCACTTTTATCTGTTACACAAATATCAAAATATTCCATAACCTTCGGCGAAAGCGGCAGTTCAAACAGTAATCCACCTTACAAATATATAAATAAAATAAGATATAAAACTTAGAAGTGATTTAATCTATCTCAGTTCTAACCTATATCACTGAAATACTTACTAATTTTATCTGTAACTAAGATTCCACCATTTTCTCCTCTTTCAATTTCTTGCTGAGAATCGAGCACTAAAAAATGTCGTCCTTTTACAAGTATAACATCATTGTTAGCCATGATGCTTCACTGTTTAAAATTTTATTTTAATCAAGGGAAGTTAATGTATAATCAAGAATAAACGGTTGAATACTTTCATTTTGTATTTTCCCGCGCTTTAGCAGTGATAACCCAAACAACCTCTACATTTTATGAGGTAAGAAAGTTATTTTCGTGGTCGACCAACTGCGACTTTTGGAACGGTTATCATTGGATAACCACTCAGTGCATAGATACTTTCGGAACGAATTATGGTAACCAAGGTTGGATTTTGGAACGTACCCCTGTGCGTTAATGCCAGGCTAGAATACCTTAACATTAGGGTGTTTACTTCTAGCAATCTGATTTGTAATCGAATTGGAAGCAGTGATATAAACTGACTTTAGAAAAAGTTCCCTAGACTAATCCGATTTATGAAACGTGTCCTCGGAGCAATCCGATCAGATCCGATTAGCTCATAACAAGTAAAGGACGTGATTGCATCTTGATTTATTTGCATTTCGAAAAAACCATATTAAGATATCAAACCTAATCTTTTATAGTTGAATATACATACATATTTTAAGCCAGCGGCACACGGTGCTTGTTTTCGTGCTGGATTGCTTGCTGGATGAAAATACTGCGTTCTGATTGGTGCATTTCCACCCATTTTCGGAAATGTACCAATCACAACACAATATTTTCATCCAGCAAGCAATCCAGCACGAAAACAAGCACCGTGTGGCGCTGGCTTTAGATATATATCTTAGGTAACTTATAATTTGATTCATATTCTTGTTTAACAAAAATATTTTTATAAATATTCTTATAGAACACAAACATGGATTTATTACTTTTATGGAATATGTTTAATGATGACGAGGAAAATATATGGCAAATACGTAGAGTAAGAGAAGAACATATTAAAATTAATAACTTTTATGAAAACGTCGTTCTTTATTATTTATTGACAGGTAAGAAGGACATATACATATACATATAATACATATTTACTGAGTTGAATATAACAATGTTAAACAGTGATTTCAATAATATGGGTTCAATACTTATAAACAAAACAAATATTTATTTAAATATCGTTTAATATGCGCACACGCGTATAGATGTATAAAATAATATAAGCATATAAAATTTTTTAAATATTTTATATAATGCATATATAATATTGTTTTATCATGTTATATATGTATATGTTTTCTTTTTGATTTTAAAACACATTTTCGCGTCAAAAAAGAAACTTTTGAAGTATTGATACAACATATTGGACCATACTTATTGCAACTAGACAATTGGCCTAAGATACTACCGGAGAAGCAAATAGCTGTAGCCTTGTGGATATTTGGCAATCAAGAAGTTTACAGGTTGGCAATAATAAAATCCATTTCTTATATTACAATAAAAATTCACAGGTAACAGAGTGTTACCTATTTATGTTTATAAACCTGTTGAGTTTGTGTTTATACGTAACTCTGTTACGTATACTTTATATGTAACAGAGTTACATATAAACACAAATTATCAATAACATAATATCAATATTATAATTTTCTACTCAACAATGTAACTGTTACATAACATGCACGTTATATCCCAGACAGCATCGGACATCCAATGGATGTACCTTTCACGTCCAATTTATGTCCGTATGTCCGATTTACGTCCGTGGACATAAATTGGACGTAACAAGGATGTCCTTATTGAACATCGGACCTGTAGGACGTCCGATGTACGTCCATCGAACATCCTATGTCCCAAGTTGTGACAAACGTACGTCCTATGGACGTCTTTAGTAAAAAAAATGGACATATAACGGACGTCCAATGGACATCCGTGTGCTGTCTGGGATGTTATATTTAAATTAGACAATGAGATATTGTAATATTTATGTTATGTTGCTGTTAATTGGTGTTTACTGGGAAACATTGTCTTTTCAATAATATAATATATATACCGTATTGATCCTGTTCACATAGGTTTTCCTCTTGTTCACATGCCATACTGATTTTCAAGTATCTAAAAAAATGATTATTTTGATAAACTTATATGCTAATAATTGAAGTAGATGCAGATAAACTAATAGACTAGCATAAATACATCAAGATGCATCCTTGTACAAACAGAATTTTGTTAATATGTAAAAGAAGGCATCTGATGCCATGAAAATTGTGTCAATATTGTAGAAATTTTCTATTGTCATAAAAATTGTTACCAATATGCTGGCAAAAGAACTAAATTAATACTAAATTATTGTAGTAATAAAAAGACTATACTATGTTCAGTATTCTGTCTATCCGAGGAGTGGCAGGTTATTCATTATAGTCTATTAATTTTTTGAAAATATATATCGGTGATATATAAATACATCTTGTCAATAGACATTTGAAGGAAGTTGAAAATTAGATAATTATCCAATTTAGACTTTCACTTCCGATTTGGTTGAAATTCACATATTTATATTGTATTTTAATGCGTAGTAACCATATTTGAAAGTCAAAATAGTCGCTCTACACCGCAAAGCGAGATATGAATAGTTAAAGTTGACTAATATTACAGATTACGAAATCTGTTATTGCGACAAATTATAGCAATTTCATTTATTTTTTTTAAGTAAAACAAATAAGAAGGAGGTTAAAGATAGCCGCAGCAATGTACAAGTTAGAAGAAGAAAGTATTTTGTTATTAATTGCATAAAAGACAAGAAAATTGGGTGAAACTAGTCGGTAAAAAATTTAACTCTCTTATACTTTGTACTTACCTCAAACCACCTTATTATTTGATTTTTTTTTTAATAAAACTAATAACAAGAAGGTTTCAGATAGTCACAACAAAGTACAAAGTCATTAGGACAAGAAAATATTTTGCTATTTAAAATAAAAAAAAATAAATCAAATAACAAGGAGGTTTGGGATAGTCATAGTAAAATACAAAAGAGTTAAGTTTTCTAATTAGTTTCACCCAACTTTCCTGTTTTTTGTACAATTAACGGAAAAGCACTTTCTTAGCCTAATTCTTTTGTACTTTGCTGCGGCTACCGCTAATTTCCTTGTTGTTTTAATTACAAAAAAAAATTAGTAAATCAAACTGCTATAATTCATTATTATGACAGGTTTCTTAACCTATTATGTCAGTCAATTTTAATTATTCATATTTCATTTCGCAGTGCAAGGTGACAATTTTGGTTTTCACATTAGATTGCTTTGGCTAAGAAAGTAATTATAAGATTCATAAAGTATATACCTATATATTTTGCCTGATTCGTATTAATATGATTTGAAATGTAAATCACAAGTAAATAAACCACGTCCTTCTCTACTCGTCATGAGCTAATCGGATTTGATCGGATTGCTCCGAGGACACGTTTCATAAATTGCATTAGTCTAGGGAACTTTTTCTAAAGTCAGTTTATATCACTGCTTCCAATTCGATTACAAATCAGATTGCTAGAAGTAAACACCCATAGTATCGATCACGTAACTTTTCCTCTAGAGCGAAAAGTGAAAAGTGAAAAATTTCTCGTGAAGTCGCCTAGACAACACAAAATATTCCAAAATATCATGTGTGTATCTAAAACACATTTAAAAAAAGATAGAACAACATTTGGATATTCTTAAAACATCTTTTTGTAATTTTATGTTCTTTAGCTATGATCATACAACTAGGGGAAACATGGAAACTTTTCACTAACTTTTCACGTAAACTTTTCGTCATTAAGGCCCAGTTCCACAACTTGCTTTGAACTCCGTTTAAAGCGTGTTAAGGGCACGGTCTTGAATACAGGTCGGGAAACTCCTATGGAGGGGGTGATCCGCTTAGTGAAGGCATTTTTAGTTGACACTATCACCACTTGGAGCGCTGTAAGTTAAGAGTGCTATCTCGCTGCGCTAACTTCGTGAGCGGCTGTCATTGCGGAGTTAATGATAACTTATATAGAAGGTTATCGCAATTTGGTCATTGCAAACTTGGGTTTACCCAGCGAAATACAGTGTAACAAGCGCACAAAGTTGTAGTGAATTAACAATGACAAAGTATTGTGTCGTGCCGAAATGCAAGACTGGATGCAAAAGTGTCGCAGTGAAGTGTTCAGTTTTTAAAGTGCCAAAATGCGACGAATTGCGTAAAAAATGGATATCTGCAATCCCTGGCATAAAGGACCTGAAACCCAACCAATGCGTATGTGAAAAACATTTTGATAAAGCAAGTATAATAAGGGAGCTCGTAATGCGCGATGCACAAGGAAACGTGGTAACCGAGGTAAGCTCAGTTATGAAAAAAAATATTCTGTCGCGTCAAAAGAAATTTTAATAATATATCTATGTATTGACACTATAATTCAAGACTTATGTGACTAGTAATCTTATCCTGAGGTTTAAAGAAATTTAAAAAAGATAATTAAGAGCTAGATATAGTAGTCTCAGTGTATCTCGATTTCCAGACTTTAAAAATCAGATACCCAATTTGTATAAGTTGATTTTATGTAATTTGTTCAGGCTAAGTACCTGCGAACTCGTTTATCTAAATCTGCTGTGCCCACGATTTTCTATGAGTTTTCCTCGACTACGTTAGTTTCCAAGGACGAGGATTTGCAGGAAGAAAAGTTGGGTGTAGATGCTGCGAGTAATGGATCGCTTAACTCAGACGTGCATTGTACACTATCAAAATCCATCGAAATCACATTGCCTATTCCACAGTCTGTTGATGTGACAAGTAAATATTATCATGCTTTATTGTATTCCACGAATTCAAATAGCAATCCAGCAATTGATTCCTACTGTATACAGCCATTCCATGATGCTATTTTCGTAATAGCTATTATATTATACACTCTGTTACAGCCGATGACATTGACGAGTTTTTGCTCTCTGAAAGCACGAATGTCAATATAGAGAATTTGAGTGCAATTGATTGCCAGCAAAGCAAAAAAGAAACAAATGGTTTCACTGATTGTGAGAGAATATCGGACTCGGTTGACCTAAAGCTCATGAAAAGTATCAGCATGGCGTGTAAGTGTTGCTATTATTGTATCTACATTAACTATATATAAAAATGAACGAATATAGTATTGGTACGAACGTTTGCAGGGATTATAAGATTTAGGGTCTGATAATACGAATAATATCATTACATATATATTTTATATGTTTTAGCGTACAAAGATTCGTTAATCACAATACCAAAGTCGTGGAGTTTCACCGAGTCGTACAGAGGAACAAAACGGTATTTGATATTCTCACACGTACGGTTGATGACCAATAATGACACAGATGGTCCTATTATAGACAAAAGTCTCATAATCGACGACGTAGACGGCACAATTGATTACAAGATTTTTGGAAAATCGGTCGACATTCAAGAAATTAAGATCTTGCAAAATATGAACGATGTAACGTCGCTACATGCCGTTTTGTCAAAATTCGAAAGCATGCCAGTTTGTCAAGGAGTTGGTCCAGTTGAAGAATGTCTTATTGAACGAGACATCGCGTATCGAACTTCTTGCAATGTTTGGCATCATACCGATTGTGAATTAACCACCAAAACGAAAAGGTGCAAACGTTGCACAATATTGAAAAACACGTTGCTGCAAAAAAAGGCACGTTTTAAAAAGCGTGATCAAGTAAAAAGAGTCGTGGGAACCACAAATCCAATTGATCTTAAGAAAATAAATGCCTTGAGAAAAAAATTGAGCGTAACGCGTCGAATGAAAAATCGATCAAAAATTCGAATCGCCTTGTTGCAAGATCATTTGCAGTTGCAGTTTATCTCTAAGCAAAACGAGCTGGCAAATATTCAGGACGAAACATTGGAGAAAAAATGTCCTTGAATATACCAAAAACAATGCAAAATACGTTGATGGAAATAATAACTTCAGCAAAAACCTATAAGAGAGGTCACCGATATTCAGAAGAATGGATAATGCTCTGTATGTTAATGAACATACGTTCGCATGGATATTACGAATTTTTACGTAAAAACAACGTTATCCTATTACCGTGCACCCGAACTATTCGAAGTTATTTTACAAATATCAACACAAAATGTGGCTTCGATAGCAATTTCTTACAACTGCTCAAAAAAAGTTTTGCTTCCAAAAAACCGATGCAACGCCACGGAGTTTTGTTACTCGATGAGATCAATCTCCGAAAATCGATTTCTATATGCTCGAAAACCCTCACCTATTCTGGATTAGTTGATTTTGGTGACGAAGGACCTCAAGCGACGAGTATAGAGGATCAAGCGACTCACGGACTTGTGTTAATGTTTCAACCACTCGCAGACACCTACATGCAGCCAGTGGCAGTCTTTGCATCAAAAAATCCCGTGAGGGGCGACGAACTAGCAAAAATAGCAGTTAAAGCAATCGTTCTGTTGGAAGAATCTGGGGCCATAGTGCATGGAATTGTTTCCAATGGAGCTGCGACAAATACGAAGATGGGAAAAAATCTGGGTATAAAAAGCACGATCAATGAGACTCGGACATGGTTTACCCATCCCTTGGATAATGATCGCCGCGTGTTTATGTTCTCTGACGTTCCTCATCTTGTCAAGAATGTGAGAAATCGTTTATACAAGAAGAAAATACTACGAGTATGTATATGAATTTATATTGATGCATTGATAGCATTCTCACTACTACGTCTCCTTTTGCATATATATTTTGTTGTAGATGAACGCAAGGAATGATCCGATCAAATGGGAATATTTTAAAACTCTACACAAATTGGACAGTAACCAATTAGGAAACGCTCGAGCATGTCCTCGGCTGACTTTGAGACACGTAGAATTAGATAGCACAGCTAAAATGCGTGTTAGGCTCGCAACACAGGTGTAAATGATACGATTCGAATAATTTTTAATATTTATTATGATATATTATGATATATTATGATATATTATGATATTATTTGTGGTATAGATTTTTTTATTATTTTTTATCAGATATTCAGCAATTCAGTAGCGAATGGGCTTCAGTTATACGTATCTGAAAAGTGTCAAGAATTAAAAGGCTGTGAAGCTATTGAGTTTTGTAAGCGAATGAACGACTTGTTCGACGCTCTAAATCGGAAAATTCCGAATCAAGGAGTTACTTCTAATTCTTACGATTTCCAGGTAAACGTTCTATCACACCATCCAATGTAGTTCTCGGTTTCGTCATTTAACTGATAAGTAGCGTCCACAGTTTGAATTCATAGACGTTTCTGTTCAAGACCTTTGCCTACTTCCAGTTTTTATTATCTTCTTTATACAATTTGAGACGTTTTCATTATTAGGTTCTGCGAAGTTCAATACAATGGCTGAACGACTGGGAGACCGCTCAAATTATGGGGGAAATTAACGAGCATGAATTTTTGACTCAGGAGACCGCAAGAGGTCTTCGTTTGTCACTCCAATCTACGATGGACTTATGTCAGTATTTGGAGGCGCGCTACGATTTCAAATATCTATTAACTGGGAAAGTGAACCAGGACAACTTGGAGGTAAAGTTGCTCAATAATACTTTAATACTTTGTTTAACCCCTGATGACTATATGAGGGCCGCTGGATCCATATAAAAATTAAGCATAATGAAAGTTAAATAAAAAAAACATAATCAAAGTTATATTCATAAAATATTTGGTTTTTATCATTATATAACACGGCGATGAAAAATAAATAAATAAATATGTTTCTTTCAGAACTTTTTCGGCACCATCCGCCAAGCAGCGGGTTGTAATGACCATCCGACTTGTCCGACTTTTCTGCACATATACAAATTACTTTCGATATATAGTATTTTGAAGCCGCCGAAGTACGGAAATTGTACTGTATCTGAACCTGAGCAAAAGATATTAATTACAGTAAATGACCTCAAAGAGATAAGCGGAAAACCGAAATCAAAAATGACACAAAGCCGTGAAAAAATAAGAAATAGGTTGAACGAGATTTTAAACAGCGAATACGTTGAAGATCAAAATATTTTCGCAGACGACCATAACTACACCCTTCCTAGTGTTGTCGATTGTATCATTTATTATGCAACAGGTATCCTAAACTAACAAATAATATCTCCCGATTTTATTCTTTCCGCCCCTAAATTTGTCCTTGAAAGAAAAAACAACACGAAATGCATTCTTCAGAAACAACTTTCACACTACTGTATGCATAAACAGAAATGTGAATTATGAACATTCTAGATTACCATTATGAAAATTGCACATGTGTTGTTTTACTTGTCTACTAATAATTGACATTGAGCAGGTGATGCTGGAATCTTTGGATCAAGTCGGTGAAAAATAATAAAACATTCTTCAAGATTACATGTACGATAATATTGGCCATTTATTATGCCCATGACTTGGTATCCGGTTACGTAAAATCGTATGTTCCTAATAATACTTTAAAATATATTTGCACACTTAATTACACTTATTTTAAATTTTCAGCTGTCCTGTCCTTATTTGCATGCGGTTGCTGTACGCATGGATTTTGAAAAGCATGTGTTATATGTTATTTACATAGTTGTGCAAAGTGTTTTATTTTCTACATTTCACATTCTTCGTTTATATGAAACCAATCGTTTAAGTATGTTGCTATGATTAACATTTTTCTAGGCTACGTATGCAAACAAGTTTTGCGGTGCTATGGTGAATGTGTAAATTGTCATGCAGCGTTAATACAAGATCCCAACAATCACAGTTCGCTTTCGAAATTGGTCGCCCTTAAATCAAACGGAAGGCTGATTCATCCTAACACAACCTTTTTTAAACTGATACGTTTTATCGAGGATTGTTTTTCTAAGCATGCTGCAAGCAAACATGTCTTTGATGAAACAATAGATGAAGTTTTGGACTCATACATTTTTTCATTCCCGTGCAAAACACATGCCTCACATCTCCTGTCATATACACTCCAATATTACATTCGAATGAGAATGAGACAGTTTACATTTCAAGAAAACGAAAAGAAGAAAAAAATATTTGTACAGAAAAAAAATTATCAAAACTTACAAATCAATAAACTATTTCGATAAGTTTATAACATTGCATGATAAATAAATGTAATTATAATTGTTAACATTTATTCTGTGAATAAAAAGCGGAAACGGATTGCTATTTCAAAAAGTAATCACATCTTTCATTAATTCACATTTATTACCTCTGCATTTACCTCAATATGATAAATAAACATTATTTCTATGTACAACGGGAGTGATTTATTATTTTATTTCACTTTACGAATATCGCGGGATAGTACTATTACTACTATGTTTACGCGAGCGTTACTTCTGTAGTAACTTATTCGAATTATCGCAACTTACGATAATTCACTCCGCGTAAACGGGGATTTATTGAATAGAATCCCGTTTATGCAGAGTAAATTATCATAAGTTACAATAATTTAAATAAGATACTACAAAAGTAACGCTCGCGTAAACATAATATATGTCTTTTACATAATTACAATACGTAATAATTAAATAACACATTTTCTTACTTTTCATAAAATATTTGTTAAAAATACATTAACCGGAATCGAACTAAAAACGGTAAGAGTGCAAGGATCTCATGCTACCACTCATTCACATTTTTCAGCTAACAAGATATACTTAACATATACTTTTTTCATTTTACATTTATTACAACGCGCATGCGTGACAAAAAGTTCTTGCAACGCAGCGGCGTGCGCGGTTAGAAGGCGAACCAAAAATATCGTCACTAAGCGAGTCACCCCCACCACCAAAAAAAGGTAGGAGTTTCCCGACCTGTATTCAAGATCGTGGTTAAGGGGATCCTGGAGTCGTCTGTTTTACCGACAAATTGACTCAATTTTCTCAAACACTATTCTTTTTATTAGCTATACAGATTGAAAAATCCTTTTGTACAGCGAAAGTACTTATAATAACGAAGTACGGAACACAAAGTTTTATGTCAAATTCAATGAAAAATTACAAAATTACAGTTTCGTTATCATGTTTGCGTCAGCTCGTAACTTTACTTATTAATTATAACAGTTCTGCAGTTTATCCATGCAAAAGCTTTTGCTTCCGTACTAGCCATAATATGAAAGAATAATACTAAAGTAACAGAAATGAGCTCAGAAATCAGTGTAAAAAGAATAGTATTTGAGAAAAAATGGCTTGGATGTGTGTGTAAGCGGAATATTTTTGTTACACTTTGGGGTAAAACAGAACAGTAGATTAGTTCCGCATAATCGTAATCGATGGAGCTGCAGGCAGACACAATCGTACTATCCTTGTCTATTTCATGCGTAGAGTAATATTATGACAATGAAACTGTAGTTGTTAAATTTTTTGTCGAATTTTACATAAAACTCTGCTTTCCAGACTTCGTTATTATAAGTACTTTCATTATGCAAAAGGATTTTTCAATCAGTGCAGCTAATAAAAAGATTAGTGGTTGAAACTCTCTTTGTTCCCTCGATTGCACGCTCATCAAGCCACGTTTACAATCAGTCGGAAGACGTTGTCGTATGTCGCACGTATGTCGTACGTACCAATCACAACCTCACATGTGATGTCTTCAATAAAATTATGTTTAAATTAAATTAGCTACACACATATATATATATATAATTAATATATATATATAGTTAATTTAATTTATAATTTATATATATATATACATATGTCATAGGACATTAAACTTGCACATTCTCATTATTTTGTTCTAATGCAAACATTTAAATTTTCAACATAGAATACATATATATATATATATTAAATGTATGTATATATATTAATTATGATTGAAAATTTAAATATTCATGTTTAAAAATCAAAATAATAAGAATTTCCAAGTTTAGGTATATATCCGGGTATCGGCACTTTTACTTTAACTA